GAGGCCGGGCGCCCGCTCCGCCCCCGCCCGCGGGGCCTCTGCTCCCGCCCGCGGGGCCGACTCACCGCCCTGGTCAGCGCCAGGCGCCGGGCCTGCAGCAGCCGCGACACCGCCCGGACCCCCGACATGTCTGCTCCCCACGGCGCCGTCCCACCAAACCCCGCGCCGGCCGCGCCTGCGCACCTCGCTGCGCCTGGGGGCGGATGGGGAGACATCGCGCCTGCGCACCTCGCCGCGACCCGGGGAGAGGGCGGGGTGGGGGGACTGCGCCTGCGCAGAGAGGACCCGCGGACGGCGGTGCCCTGGAGCGTCCGGGCCGGCGCTCCCCGCCAGGGGGTAGGTCCGGGGAACGCGCGCTGCGGGGCGGGGTCGCTCCTGGGGGAACCCCCGCGGTGAGAGGGGCCGAGGACCCGGCCGGGGTCCGGTTCAGCCCCGGGCTAAGGTGTCTGTGCCAACTCGCCTGATCTCACCTGCGGCCCAGGTAGCGTTTGCTTTTCCGTGTCCGTGTGTCTGCGAGAGGTCTGAAACCCTCCGTGGAGCGCGGGGCGTGGAAAGGGCAGGCGGCGGTCTGCGTGCTGCGCGCACCCGCTGTCCGCCTGAGTTCAGGTTGGTGACGAAGCTCTTTCTCGGGCGCAGTTGTATGCAACATGGTTTCGAATTATGTTAAGTTTGCAGTGGACCGTTCCCATTGTATAGGATGTTTCCCAATTTTTGCTACTAGAAAATAAAGCCGTAAAGAATATATCTGTGCACAACGCTTTGTTTTTATTTAGGATTGCGTTGCTTTTATCAGAGCTGCGTCTTTGTCAGGCCATGTGCCCCCGAGGGAATGAACACGCACTTCCCAGACGCCTTTGACATTGAGGCAGTTTAGTTCTTTCAGATAACTGATTGTTTTTTTATTCTGTGGATACCACAAACTACTTAACATTAAATCCTGAGCCATATTGTTTGGTACTTTATTGCCAATTAGAATGTTATGTTTTCAGCTGTTAAACAAGTATTCATTGAGAAAGCCACTAATTTTTTTCAAAATTGAATTACATTTCATGTTCCTTATGTGTCACTTATTTCTTTTGTAATCAGTCTGCGTGACTTATGGCTGTCACATAGAAACAAGCTGAAAGCCCTCTTGAATGTATTTTGTGAAAATGCCCAGCCTAGTGCAGGATCTTAGTAAACCTGTGGATTCACACTAGCATTAGACCCCGGCCTGGTTACTGAGATAAATCACGAGCGTTAAGTGCCAACATCTGCAAGCGTGCTGTTCCCTGCCACGATGGCAGGAGGAACCACAGCCTTCTCCAGCACGTGGCCCCTCCCCCACAGGCTGTGCCTGTACCCCCCAGCGCTGGTCACCATTTCCTAAATTAGCAGCCAGTGTTTGACACCTTCCTATTTACATCTTTATGTACAACCATCGTTTCAAACATATCTATATTAAAGAACTTCTTGGTTCTACTTACATTTCAGTTACTGAGACATGTTTCTCCCCCATTACTTTGAACATTGCTTTGATCTGAGATCTGTTGTTTTCTTCTTTTGGTCCCATACAGCTCAGTGCCCTACAGCACACAGGTAGTCTGAACAAAAATTCCGCCAAGAAAAATAAGGATTCATATGAGCCACCTACATAATAAAATTGTTAGATGTATTTTATTCCTTTTGTATGGTTAATGGTTTTATTATTTACTTCAAGGTCCGTCTTCATGAATAACTTAAATGACCCCCCGAATTGGAACATCCGACCCAATTCCAGGGCTGACGGAAATGATGGAAGCAGGTGGAATTATGCCCTGTTGGTCCCCATGCTGGGGTTGGCAGCTTTTCGTAAGTCACAGTTCTCCTAACAGTTGTATTCTCTGGGCTGACGGTTTGGAGCTCGGGCTTTGGGACTTGACAGATGCAAATGTACACCCTAGTTTTATTCCAAATGGTGTGTCTTGGGCAAACGACTGAACCCTCTGAGCCTGTTTCCATGGGAGGTGGCAAATTAGAATTACCTTGATGCAGTGTGAGGGCTAAATAAGATGAGATACTTAGAAGCATTTTGTGTGGAGTGAATTTTAATACCTGTCAGTCATCTCCCATTCAAAGCTGCCCCACTCTGAGGAGTTCCCTCACTTCAGATGCCAAGGACTGAGGGGGACTAAAACAGGCCTGGGAGGGAACCAGCTCTGGGCAGCTGCGTGATGTGTAAGATAGGGGCTTTGGGAGACTCCGTCTGTGAAACCTGCTCAGCCAGGCCCGAAATTCTCTCCAGTTAGCGCTGACTGCACCACTTCAGGGAAATGACCGGTCACCGGTCAGTTGTAACTGTTCCATCTCTTCGCTTAGACCCCACACTACCTGGTAGATTTTCTGATGTTTGCGAGTTGTTTTTATGTTCTGTCATATCCCGTGGTTCTGGGTTGGCACGATGCCCTCCTTTTTGCAGTGGTACTTTTTATGGAGTGGCTTTTTCTGTGCCTGGGTTCCTCAGGGCAACAGATTTTCACAGAGGAAGTGGAGGCTGACAAGAGTAGCGTTTATCAACCCCACTTCACTGCCTTTATTTTTAGACTATGCTAGGGGCCCAGTTAACACCCTTATGTTGCAATATAATTTCTCAACCATGTAATTGTACACTTTTGGAGAATACTTACAAGAATGTAGTTAAAAAGTTGCTCTGATCACATTACCTAACCAAGACAACCAAGAAGAATAAAGATTCCTCAACCCTTCTCAGGGACAGAAAGCATCATTTCAAAAGTCAAAGGGTAAGAACTTCAAAAGTAAAGGTTATTATGAAAGGCTATAAAACCTGGAGATGAGTCTGAAAAACAAATGGAAAATGAAAGTCACATCAGGGCCTCTCTCCCAGCGCCAAAACTAATTGCTACATTAGTAAGTGTAATTTTAAGCCTTTCTCGATTCACTAGCCTCAGGCAACAGGTAGCCGTCCCAAGTGTTAAGGAGTGTTTGGCAAGACACAAGCTAAGCGAGCTCTAAATGGCACCGCCAGTGCCGTGGGGCTGGATGTGGAGCTGCTGTGTCTTTCACCGAGAAGCCAGCCCTGGGCAGATCACCACTGACGCTTGTCAGCCTCCACGGGAGTCGATATTCAGTGTTTTAAGAAAGTGCCAGGGTGTTTTCCCGAGTGGTTGTGCCATTTTTTGCTGCCACCAGCAGTGCGTGGGATCCAGTGTCGGGCGCCCTTGCCAGCACTTGGTGTGGTCACGCTGGTCTCTGCATTCGTTCAGATAGGTGTGCAGTGAGAACCAGTGTCCCTGACGGCTAACGATGTTGGGCGTCTCCACGTACTTTTGCCATCAGTATGTGTTCTTCTGTGACATGTCTGCTCCTGTCTTTTAGCCGCTTTCTAATTGGATAGTTTTTTTGTGCTCAATTTTGAGTTTTGCTGTATTGCAGATACCAGTACTTCATTGGATAGCTGGTTTGCAGACATCTTGTCCCAGACTGTAGCTTATTTGTTCGTTCTCTTAATGGAGTGTTTCACAGAGCCAAAGTTTTAGTTCTGATGAAGAGCTTCCCCTTTTACTGTCATGCTTTGCACACCAATCTGAGAACAGTGTCCTGAAGACACCAATGTTATTTCCTAAAGTTTTAGTTTTAAAGTTTTAGTTTTACATTTTACAGAAAAGTCGATGATGCATTTTGATTAATTTTTGTATTAGATATGAGACTTGGGTTTTACTTCTTCCCTTCCAGTCTGTTTGCCTTTGGTTCCTTTTCTTGCTTTTTTGCCCCACCATGGAGGACTCCATTGACTAGTTCCTGATCTTACAGGAAAAGCTCTGTCTTCACCGTGAAGCACAGTGGTAGCTGTAGGGTACACAGATGCTGTCTATCAAGGCCCCATCATTCCCGTCTCTGGGTGTTTACCGTGAATGGGTGTGGAGTTCGGTCCAGTGTTTTTCTGCATCCGATGATACGGTCGGTCATGTGATTGTTCTCCCTTAGCTGCTGACGTGTTGGATTACATTATTGCCTGAGTTGAATGTTGAACTAGTCTTACATTTTGGGAATAGTCCCCACTTGGTCATGCTGTGGAATTCTGTTTACATATTGTAGAATTATAGTTGCTAATTTCTGTTGAGGATTTTTATATCTTTTCATAAGAGATATAGCAAGTATTTCAGCCCTTGGGCAGGGTTCTCTCTCTAATCCACACCTATTTTGGCATCCTGTTTTTTATTTCAGTGATTGTATTTTTCGGTTCTAAAATTCCCACTTTAACCTTCGATTTCTTTGCTTAGACTTCCTATTGCGATGGCTGCCTTAAACTGTCCAATAACATCACTGTCATCTTGGCAGCCGCAGACACTGGCTACCTTTTTTAAAGTCAGTTTGAGATCTTCCTGATTTTTTTTTATGAAGAGTGATTTTCAATTGAAACCTGGGCATTTGGGGTGTTTCATTATTCAGACCTTTTTGGACAGCGCTGTGGCAGGAGAGGGGCGGGGGGAGTCCAGGCTCCACACTTGGCCTCTGGCCTGTTGACACCACGTCTTGAGGTTGAATTTCTCACTCTACCTTATGATCATGTGCCCCAAATAGAACATAAGCCAACGTCCAGGACTTCAGCTGTTGGCTGGAGAGGACCAGGCAAAGCTGAGCACACTTTGAAATGTACTGAGGTCTCTTACCTCGCCAACAACATCTGAAGTATACCCATATTCATTTTTTCAACAAATAGCCCATATTCTTTTTTTTTTTTTTCAGCTGAGCCATCCTGCCACCTGTTGGCAGCTCAGCAGCAGCTCAGCTCGGGCTGGGAATTGAACCGGCAACCCTGGTGCTCAGAGCTCACACTCTTGAGCGACCATATTCATTTTTAATCCTTGCCAACAGTACATGGGAGCTGTGGCCAGAGTACGTCTGAGAGCAAAAGAAAGTAGAGGGGTTTTTCTTAGCCACAGAAAACCAGACTGAAAGGGGCGCTGTCTATAGCCAGGAGCCTTCATCTGATTTAGAACTCTGCGTTTTATTACAAAATGTTATCTTTTTTGTGCCTCTAAGGGCTTAAGATTTTATTGAAATGCTATCCTTTGCTGCTTTATATTTTCTTTAAAGATTATAGAAGTTCAGCTCTGGCTTTTCATCATGTGTGCTTTTCTCCCCCAATGTATCCATGTCAGGTTGGATTTGGTCTAGGGAGTCTCAGAAAGAAATAGAGAAAGAGAGAGAAGCATACCGCCAGAGAACGGTGGCTTTCCAGCGGGAACTTGAAGCCAAGTACCATGCTGTGATCTCGGAAAGTCGGCGGGCTGTGGCTCACTTGTCTTTGGAACTTGAAAAGGAACAGAACAGGACAACTAGTTACCGAGAAGCCCTTATCTCTCAGGGGCGCAAGCTGGTGGAAGAAAAGAAGCTTCTGGAGCAGGAGCGGGCTCAGGTCATGCAAGAAAAGAGGCAGGTGCAGCCCTTGAGGAGTGCGTACCTGAGCTGCCTGGAGCAGGAGGAGGACTGGCAGAGGCGGGCCAGGCTCCTGCTGAAGGACATCGAAGGCGCGCTTTCCGAGAGACAGAGCGTCTACTGCAGCCTGCTTCTGCCTCGCGGCCGGCGACTGCAGATAGAGAAGAGCCTGCTGGGCCGCGCGTCCACCGACCCGGTTGCTGCTGACCTGGACATGGCAGCTGGCCTGACCGACATATTCAAGCATGACACCCACTGTGGTGATGTCTGGAACACCGACAGGCGCCAGAACGGGAGACTCATGTGGCTGTATCTCAAATACTGGGAACTGACTGTCGAACTGAAAAAGTTTGAGAGAGTGGAGAAAGCCATACTCGAAAAGTAAGACGAGAGTGCGATAAGCTCCTAATGACTCGAGGTCAGACGACCCTGTGGCATTCTGGGTTGTCCGATGTTTTCTCTTTTCATTCTTCCAGTGCTGCTCGTGTTGTGGTCATGTGTGCGTACAGCCATCTGTCAGCCTGCCACTTCTGAGCAGGACAGCAGGGCTTGGCAGACAGGGCTTCCTCCCCAGCCCTTCTCAGCTGTTAAGGAAGCTGTTTGTCAAGGACTGTTTAAGCAGAGAGTATAACTTCGTATCGTAGGTCTGGGAAAAATTTGTTTTTAAGAAAGTTAAATACAGCAGTGATCCTCTCTATTAGTAATTTTCTGCGTGGTTTTCTCACTCCCTACATAACTTCTGTGTTTGCCTCAATTATTTTTCTCCTAAAATTGCATTTAGAAGTTGTCAGGTAGTGGATAGAACTGCCTAACAGATGATACTAGGAAAGTAGTAATATTATTAAGGTTTTATATTGTTTTAAAGATCTCGCCCACCAGAGGGAAGAACAGGGTTTCTTGTACCCAGTTGACCCTGGTGTGTGTTTCGAACCTGGCTCATGTCTGTGTTCAATAAGCAATATTGCTTACTAGTGATGACATATAATAAAGGTTACCTGTAATTTAAAAGCAACAATGCCACTTTTTGTGTGTGATTCCTTACAAAATGCTTTTACACAGATTATCTCAGTATTTGCCAGATGAAAAGTGGGCGGGCACTCACAAAGCTAATAGGAACGAACCTTTCCTGTGCTTTGCACATGTCACTCGAGTAACCCTAACCCTGACACTATGCAGGAAGTACTGGTACTACCCTCTGGGCCGGGAGTCCCCGAGACCACCCTTAGGTTTGATGACAGCACAGAACTGTTCTCACAGCTAAGATTTAGTACATGACAAGGACACCAAGGGAAAGGTACGCGGTGAAGTGAGATCAGGCACAGCCCCCGAGCCCCTCCCAGCACTGAGCTTGCCAACCAGGGACGCTCCTGAGACAGCACCCAGGTGTCTGCTGTCTTGGTCACTTAGGCCCCTCTGCCTGGCACAGCACGTACCCAACAAATTCCAGACTCCCAGAAGGAAAGCAGGTATTCAGTCCAAGCTGTTTGCACAGTGAAGTTAGGTACAATGAGCCCCTGACTGGTTAATGTGGGAACCCTCTCAAAACCCAGGTTTCCAGATGCCTGCCAAGGGCCAACCTTATAAGCAGGCCTTTGAGAGGACGACGGCCTCCGGCCCGCTGTGTGACCCCTTTCTGGGCAGCCGCATTTCACAAGTGAGGGAGCTGGCACAGAGAGGAAAAGTTAACCTGCCCAAGGTCACCCCTTCTGCCCCCTGGTGGTGACTTTGGAGCCAGTGGGAACCCAGGCAGTCTGGCTCCAGAGCTGCTAGTAACTTTTATGCAATTATTTGACAGTAAGTGGCCTGGCGGTGGCTGGGTTAGGAGCCATCTCATTTCAAATCAGGTGTCCGCCCTGCCTTCCTACTTGTCTATCTATATGGCAACACGAACTGTTAAAAATATAAAGTGTTGGGCCGGCCAAGTGGCTCAGTTGGTTAAGAGCGCGAGCTCTGAGCAACAGGGTCGCCGGTTCGATTCCCACATGGGCCAGTGAGCTGCGCCTGCGCTGAGCTGCCGCTGAGCTGTCAACAGGTGGCAGGATGGCTCAGCTGGTGAGAGCACGTGCTCCTAACAACAAGGTTGCTGATTCAACTCC